CTCTAGCATGACGCTAACAGCATGGATGCCCATGGTCGAACCCATTCGTTCAACCGCATCCCATTCGACATCGCTCAAATGGGAGTAGCCGTCACGCGTAGCGTGAAAGCTTTGGTCATCTTCATCATCCAACATATTCATGTTGGATGTGAACGCGGTCCTTGGACGGACTACGAAGTGCTACCAGGTGTAACGGGGCACCCTGAAGCTTGTACTGGTGACAGTACAAGCTACTTATTCTGATAACGGAATAAGGCGGTGCCTCGTAACTTCACGTACACTCGTACGTGCAGAGGAAGACGGTAAGAAGAAGCGAGTACTTGGTTAGAGTAAAAAGTAGAACTGTATTTATAATAGTTAATGTCTGCAATAAATCACTATTTATCTTCATCTAACTATGTCTAAATACAAATGTGTAAATCAGTTATCTGCTCACCACTCATTGCGTGCGTCTGTCGTGGCGCGTCTTCGTTGGTTGATATAATGGCCTATATCAACCAATTAGGAACTACTTGGAAGTGCTACAGAATAGTGTCCTTATGACAATATTCTGAGAATATAACTCTTATAGTTATATTCTATTAACAATTTCTTATAAATTGTTATGTAACGATTCACCCCGTTACAATGCCAGTCACTCAAGAGTTGCCAACGTGCTGACTTGACATGGAACGATACGGTCTTGTCCCCGTCTTTAAAGACGACGAGTCACCACATGAGCGTGTTTGACTGGACAAAAGGAGCGTTGAGACGAGAGATTATGGTACGATGATGATACTGCTCCCCGCATCGATGCTAAGGTGGATCCAAGATTTGGTTCCTGGCTCGAATGGACGGACCTTGAAGGATCAGTGGATTATTATTTGTCAGCTCGGTAGCCATTTCTCAATCTGATCTACTGTCTTGTAGCTAGAAACGTATCCAGATGCGTCTAGTGCGTCCACTGGTGCTCGTCACTGTTGTCGTTCGCGGGTCTTTTTGTCAGTCGCGCGTCTATCACGGAGGCAAACGGTCGCCAGTTGATGCCTATCGACGTGAATGCCGCTGCTGTAACGACTCCTGGGCGTAAAAGTCAAGTCCCACTTGGCGCCATCGTGTCTTCCAACGCGGTCCAATACTTCCAGATTTGCGGCCAATCACGCAATCAAATCGTTGTGGCACCGGGGAGTGTGTCAACGCAGTATGCACGCATACATCGGCGAATTAGCGCCTAGTAATAAGCCCTCGCCGACCCAAGAGCGCGGTGACTTCGAAAACGGCGCACATGTGGAAGGAGGAACCGGGCACCGTACGCGAGTGGCATGGAGTGATGACGAGGTAGGTGGCTCGAGTGTGCCCACGCCCGTGTCGGGCGAGAGCGTGCCAATAGGAGTGGAAAAGACGGGGCAAGACGAGACGATAGGGGATGGGCACGGGAATTCTGACCAATCCCGAGCTTGGACAGGCGGCCTCGGCCCCCCAACTACTGCGCCTATTTGTGGGACCCGTACTGATCGGCGTTCGTACGCGGCCGCAGTGGCTGACTCCTTCCTTGACGGAGATAGTCAGTATCCAGTGGCTACAGAACGGGGTGCACAGGGGAAAGGACCGCGGGTCGGGTCCTCTCCTATCGCGGGAGCTTTTTCCTGTGACGTTGTGGCTCAATCTCGAAATCTCGGGTCGGCGTATGAGCCTCACTTGTTGGTGTCTGCGGGCTCGGGACCGGTGAGAGCTGCAACAGAGCAGGGAAGGGCCGACACGGTAGACGGGCAGGGTCCGGGACTTTTCGCTGACTCCAAAGAGGATGGGAGTCAGCGCTCATCTGCTGACCACACCCGGGTGCTGGTGCGGGCGGCTACGAGAGTGTGGACCGACAGATCAGACGATGATCTCCGTTCGATGATTCCGCTTGAAGAGGAGGCTCTAGCGGCATGGATGATGGGGGCTATCATGCTCCAGTCTCCGCCTGGATTTTTGGTGTGCACGCACCCGAGGGCTACGCGAGTTGTAATGCTTGATTTTTTCGAAGAGTACCTGGAAGGGAAGGTCATTGCGATTGTCCCTCCGTACGTGCGCATGCCTCAGTACATCGCCGAGAAAACGTTGCTACTCCAGCTCTTGGAACGCAGTGAGGGGCAGACGGAGTCCGATGTCATGAGTCGGGAATTGGTCAAGGGCGCCAAGCGGACCAGTTACGATGCCGAAACGAGGCGACTGACTTTCATTATGCCGGATCAAGCGGCAGCAGCAAGCTGGCATGCAAAGATGATTTTGTTTCGCGGAAAGCGTCTTAAGCTGTTGTGCCCGGTCACTATGGAGCGCGAAGACATTACTGCTCCTTCGCTATTAGCCACGTCAAGCGGTAGACACCAATTGCAATACCAAGTCCGGATTTTGGTCAATGGAGTGGCGGCAAGCACGGTTCAAGCTATATTGGCGTCTAGTGTGGCTTGTACGATCACATCCGTGTCTCGTGGGTGCCCACTCGGCTCGGAGGCATATGATTCCAACTTTTTCGTGGCAACTTTTGACATGGTGTCATGTCCCGAGCAACTCAAGCTGGTCACGCACATCGCAACATCCGAAACGGAGATCTTTCTCCACCATTTTCGTCACTTTCAACGCGTTCCCTGTTTTTCCTGCTATTCGCCATATCACTCGAGTGCTAAGTGTGGTGGACGCAAAGGCGCTTTTCAAATTCAGCATCACCGAGAATTTACTGGTATTCCAATAGCTCCTCCTCACGTCAGTGGGTTGACTTTTAACCACTTGGACGTTGCCGGTCGCCTGCAGCATGTCTCTGGACTGGCGGATACTTTGGTGGCAACCACGGCGAAATTAAAGGCTGATGGCAACAAGGCCCCACTGTTAAGTGAGGTCTCGCAGGTACCTCCTTGTGCTGGGCAGTCGTCAGCTCCGAACACGTCTCCGCTTGCCGGTGGACAGGCCGTTCGGGGCGGGGCTACTCGCGTCAGTGGTCCAATGACGAACGAGTGGTTCGATCCTGGAGCGAACAAGAAAAAGAGGGATGTGCGCCCCGCAGATGTTCCGGCTAGTCGGGCAACAGGACCTGCTGTGAAGCTACCCAAGCATCCGCAGTTCAACAAAGATGGAGGTGCAAGAAAGTCACCACTCCCGAAGTCGAAGGCTGTTGCCCAAACTATTTCCACGAACACGGTCGCTGACAAAAAGAAACCACCTCAACAGACTAAGGCAACTGTTCGTCAAAAAGGGCAACCGACCACGGTCCATTCTTCGCCACCACCCTCCGCTTCTTCGAAGGCGGACACCCAGCGCACGCTGGCGATTCGGGAACTGGACCACATATTGAGTGGTGCTCATGAGGAAGTTGCAGAACCTGCACCGATTGATCCGGGGGTCGATTCGGCGCTGCCTTCGACGAATTTAAAAGAGGCGACCCTTGAGGCCGTTCGATCGCAAGTAGCAACCGCACAAAAAACGGTGGAGGAACTTAATTTAGCAGCCGAAGAGAAGCAGCGCGCGGCAGACACCACGAAATCATGCTACTTTGCGGCTCACGCTCAGGCACTCGAAGTGGCTATTGCTACTGAGGAAACGAGTAATAGAGAACCTACTTCTCCTGAAGAAGTCAGTGAGGAATTGCTGAGGATGGAGTACGAATACCGCACCGCAGGTGCGACGGCGAACCGAGCGAATGCGGATGCAACGATAGCAGCGAAAACCCTCGAAACACTGACACGTCGGTTGGCAAAGATTACACCGAAACCGAAGCCTGTGACCGAAGATACGGCCCCGCAAGATGATACACCACCTCGCGAGATGCCTACGGAGATGGCAGCAAGAAGTAGAGAGCGGAGTCGGTCCATGATACAACGCTTGTTGGCTTCGTATGTGCGCCGCAAACGGGGTGTACCAAGTGAGCCGATCGATAAACCTCTTGGTACGGTACCTACCGCGAAGGCGCCTCGTGATCCGGGTCCACCGGATCTACCGCCGATGTGCCCCCCAGAATCGGACGGGCAGCGTCCCCAAGATCTCGATGTTACTATGGCGGAGAGCACGGTTACGTTCGGGAACACTATGTGCTTGAATGATTTAAATGGAGGGGCAGTTACTCCGCCTCCCTGTGCCGCTAGTGTACCTATTCCAGCGGATCTAGCCAAGGCAATTGAGGAAGAGCTTAAGGCCTCGTCTGGAGTTATCGACGTTTCCGACACGGGTGCCTCTAGTTTATTAACACGTCCTACCGCTAGCATGGGTGGTCTCTGTACGCAGGTAGCGGTCCGGTCCCCGATGGAACAATGTCGCGCTCCCGATCCTCACGATCAGACTTTACGCGCAACAAGGATTCGCAAAATTCCAGATAGCGCATCTGCTGCGGTGGCGGCTGCTGCAGTGCCGGAGAGCATGAAACAAATTTCATTGAACACAGCGGCGATTCGCAAATGGGTTAGCCTGCACAAAGCGATGGCTGCACTACCGACTACAATGCCAGTTGGACCTAAGGGACAAATGGACTGGATAAACGCGTGCTCCTTGGACTTGGCGGGACTCGTCTGTGGACTACCTTATCCTGTTGCTTACCTTGCCTCGATGTCGGGTGAAACCCTACGGTCTTTTGGACATTCCATCAACAGTGAATCTCAACTGGCTGTAATTCGGCGACACACCACACACGCAGATGAAGAACTTCGCGAGCTGTGCAAGGGTTGGGCCGCCACGGCAGACGCGCAAACCGGTCATATTCGATGGAGAACGACGGACAATATACAACGCTGGAGACGCTTTAGTAAGCTACAGCCCGATTTTCTGTGCGCGACTGTCGTCGAACCGCTTTCTGACTTGGATCAGTGGGGAGTCCTCAATGTTCTGTGTTTATTGCTCCCGAAGCTCGCACCTATTGAGGTTAAGACGAACGTGGTAATGCTGCAAACCAAGGCTGTACTATATCACCTCTCCAAAAGAGGTGCGCGCGGCGGTGATTAGCATTATATGCAAACCTGCCAACTGGCAGCCGGCCCTTGACCTTATCGCTAAAGATGGTCAGCTGCTGGACTCTAGGTGCTGAGGGCGTCTCGGCTGAGCTAGAGGATGCATCGTCGCGGCACATGCCACAACGTCGTCAAAGACGCCTTTTTAAGACCTCATGTATTCCACGCGACAACAGCATAGGTATCCATTCGCAGAATGTCGCAGGATTTCCCAAGAACCCGGAACATTGCGCAACTTGGTTCAGCCACTTCCGACAGAGCGAAGCCAGGGGAATCATCGATTTGGTCCTTTTACAGGAAACGCGGGTCACTTTAGGTGAGGCAGCTCCTCTGGACAAGCTTTACAACTCCTCCTGGGGATTCGTACACAAACTCGGACGCTCGTTGTGGACCGAGTCCGAGTTCTCTCGTGGAGGTGTGGCTATTTTATTAAACCCATACTCAACAATTACGGAAATGGTTCCGTGGTATGAGGATCAATGGACACAGCATTGGATGGCTGTCCGGGTCTGTATAATGGGCGAAACAGTTCTTGTTGTAAACGTTTACGCCCCAAGTACCAAGACTGAAAGAGAGGCGCTGGTCTCGAGCCTTCTACTTATTCTTCAGGGATACGAAGGACCCATGTTTGCTGGAGGGGACTTCAACTGTACTTTGGAGCCGCGACTTGACCGTTCTTTTGTCTCGCCGCCAGGAAGACATGATTCCTTGGCGCTTCGGCGGCTTCTCGGCCGAGTGCAGCTTAGCAGTGTTCTTGATGGTGATCTGGAGATGGCCGAAGAAGAAAGAGATGTACCGGCGTTTCATGCGGCCTCTCACACTTATTTCTACACCCTTCCGGGCGGTGGATTGGCTAGTTCCCGACTGGATCGGTGGTATGTGAGCTCTCGCCATGCTGATTGGATTCGTGGCGTTGCTTTGTCAGTTCCTGGTCCAGCAGCTGACCACAATGGCATCAGTATCAGGATTGGAGTGCCGCGTTATGTGGTCCGTGTACGTAAGCCGAGGCACGTGTACCCTGTTCCAGGTTGTGCAAACACAGCCGCGCATAAAGCAATTGTTGCGGCCATTAAGCTGGCACAGCTTAAAGCGGACGAGACTCTTTCTGTTCCGCCGTCGGACTATATCACGGCCCGTAGATTGGCCGACTGGTGGGATGAATGGAAGATCAGGCTTCGCAAAGTTCTTTTGGCGACGACCAAGACCGCGCGTCAAGGTATGACAACAAGCTATCGGCAGCGGCTCCGTCGGCTCTATGTAAGACTGGACGCAGCTCTATTGGTGGCGCGTACACTTGATAACTCACCACCAGGAGCTCATAAGGACTGCAACAAGCCTAGCACCACCGATACTCCGGTTGGACTGCGGCGTAATGTTGCGGAGTGTCGACGCTTATGGCAGAGATCCAAAAAAGAGCGCCTTCTTGTTCAACACACGTATACTCCTGGAGAAACATCTCGACGTTTTTTCGCCCGGGTGGCGACTAAATTTCAAGACAACACCATTGTTTCTTTGGGCGGAAAGGCTGCATACGGGCCAAATCATTCCCAAGAGCTGGCTGATGAAATGGAGGATGGCTGGGAGCGTATTATGACTCATTCCTTTGCCTGTCCCGACGCTACCGCCACTTTTCTTTCCCGGGCAGTCCCGCCAGGACCAGTTGATGACACTACTGTGATGTCGGCCGTTTCCCCCGATGAAGTGAGTGCGGCTTTAAAGAGGCTGAAACGTGGGAAAGCCGCGGGACCGGACGAAATTAACAACACATTTTACAGAGATTACGCGGAAGCGCTCAGTCCAGTACTCGCTACATTCTACACCAGATGGCTTACGTGCAGCGTGTTCCCGTCTTCCTTCGGTGAAGCGAACATTCAGTGTTTGAAGAAATCTGCGTCCTCCGCCTTGCCGCTCGATCATCGCCCGATTGCTCTCCTCAACAGCGACTACAAGTTATTTACCAAGATTCTTTCGTTTCGGGTACGGCCATTATTGTCGCATCTCGTTTTGCCGGCTCAAGTTGGTTTTGTTCCAAAGAGGTCGATCCATACAGCTCTTGACATTTTCGCGACGGTACGCAAAGCTGCGACTTTGGACAGCAGCCTACATGGAGCCATTGTGCTACTTCTCGATTTTGCCAAGGCTTACGACACGTTGCAACGTCCATATCTGCTTTCCGCTCTGACATGGCTTGGGTTTTCGCCTCATTTCGTATCAGTCGTGGCAGCATTACACCACAACACTACCTGCCGATTTCTTGTGAATGGATACCGCTCTCGTCGACGTGACGTTACTTGTGGAATACGGCAAGGATGTCCCCTTGCGCCACTTCTCTTTATTTTAGCCCTCGATAGTGTCTATCGGGTGCTACAAGCGAGGGAGGACATTCGGGGGGGGGGGTGCCTATCTCCACTGGAGGGCGGGCTACAGAGTTCAAAGTATCGGGATACGCTGACGATACTGCTGTCTACCTTCGCGATCGGTCCTCGGTTACGCCTGTTGTAGCTATTCTAGAGGAATTTGCTCATGTGTCGGGTCTCCGGACGAATCGGTCGAAATCAATGATCATTGAGCTGGACCCTCGCGGATCAGAGCAACCTTTTAGCACCTGTGGTCTCACTCTGCAGGCCCCTAGTGACTCTTGCAGGTATCTTGGTGTATTGGTGGGACAACAGGACGCGGTGGCCGATAACTGGAATAAGTGCATGCGTTCTATATGGAGCCGACTTGTCTTAGCCCGCGAGAAGACGCACACAGTGGAACAACGTGCTCTGCTAGCAAGTGCTATCGCGGTGCCCAAAATTAACTTCTTAGCACGGCACTGTTGGCCTCCTCCCGCAGTGGTTACCCGGTTGCACAGCTTAATAATGGACTTTGTATGGGGTGTCCGAGATAGAAAGCGATCCAGACCCTGGGTATCTTCTGAGATAGCGGCCTTACCTATCCAGCAGGGAGGACTAGCGATTCCCTGTATTCGGACGAAATTGATGACGATGGCGGCAACAGCAGTTGGACAATGGGCTGCTACTGTCTCTTCGAGAGACTTACTAATTGGTGACTTCTTATGGGGATCTACCGGGACGGGTACGGCTTACATTACGCCTTGTTGGACGGAAGACAAGCTCCCTCGATATCGCGCAACGCTTTGGCTAACCGGGTCTGAAATTGTTGGACTTTCTTCGGCTCAACATGCACGCCAAGGTGCGGTCAGCGAGGTCTGTAGACGAGCCTTGTCGTTTACGTCGAGAGCAGCAGTCGCCTATAATGAAGACGGTAGTGTCACAATTGATGTTCGGCGGGTTATTGATGACAGATTGCGCGTTGGGATGCGAGCTGATGTAGCAGCATCAGGGCGATTTGACCACCGGTGGCTGGCATACGCCACGCTTAAGGATATGTCGTGGCTCAGAGATCGACAGGGTAAGGCATACAGCTTGAACGGGGCCGACTTTGCGCGAAACTTGAATTACCTTGGCGAGACAATGACGTGGACGACCCTGCAGAGTGGCATGGTCTTGTTCTCTCCTACGCGTGACATGGCGTCCCAGTCCATGGCAAAGCGACGGCATTTTGGGTCCTTCTGCCTCGCGCTGCTTTACAATTTCCCGTCACTGGTATATCGACCACTGGAGCCTGGGTCTGTGATTGCATACTCTACAAAGGTGCACCAGTTCCATGACTGGCTTCTAACTGGTGACGGTAAGTCGCTCAGACATTTTGATACGGGCATGGAATGTGGAGTGCAACCGGTCGCGTCGATGGCGGCATGCGATATAGCCGCGTCAACAGCTAGTAAGTCTCCTGTTCACTTTGGAGCGCATCCGGCGCTTACTCGCGTTGTCCACATGTGGGCTGTGTAACGGGGTGAATCGTTACATAACAATTTATAAGAAATTGTTAATAGAATATAACTATAAGAGTTATATTCTCAGAATATTGTCATAAGGACAATATTCTGTAGCACTTCCAAGTAGTTCCTAATTGGTTGATATAGGCCATTATATCAACCAACGAAGACGCGCCACGACAGACGCACGCAATGAGTGGTGAGCAGATAACTGATTTACACATTTGTATTTAGACATAGTTAGATGAAGATAAATAGTGATTTATTGCAGACATTAACTATTATAAATACAGTTCTACTTTTTACTCTAACCAAGTACTCGCTTCTTCTTACCGTCTTCCTCTGCACGTACGAGTGTACGTGAAGTTACGAGGCACCGCCTTATTCTGTTATCAGAATAAGTAGCTTGTACTGTCACCAGTACAAGCTTCAGGGTGCCCCGTTACACCTGGTAGCACTTTGTAGTCCGTCCAAGGACCGCGTTCACATCCAACATGAATATGTTGGATGATGAAGATGACCAAAGCTTTCACGCTACGCGTGACGGCTACTCCCATTTGAGCGATGTCGAATGGGATGCGGTTGAACGAATGGGTTCGACCATGGGCATCCATGCTGTTAGCGTCATGCTAGAGGCTCTCAATAGAGATGCCCAACATGCTACTATCGCCAAGTTCATTCAAAATGAACTTGACGCAGAACGCGAGAAAGTAGCCTTGCTTCACCAACAAGGTTCTCAACAAGCAGAGTTGTTGAGAGAACAAGGTGCTCAACAGTTTGAACTGTTGAGACAGCAGCAGGCTGCTGCTGGCGGGTCGATGCACTCGCGTCGGCCCGAGACTTTGAAGATTGACATCTCAAAGTATAGGGGGTCGAAGAAGACTCCCTCTTGAGATGGTTCGTCGAATTGGATGACGCCATAAGGGCGCGTCGCATCGACGACGGGGATATGCAAGTTGCATTTGCCCAGTCAAATCTGGCAGGACGTGCCAAGACTTGGGCACTGGGGCTCAAGCTGCACGACCCATACGCGTTTGGGTCGTTGGAAGTCTTCAAGTCGCGGCTCAGACAAACGTTTGAACCGCCTAGAGCTGAGTTCAGAGCTCGAACCGAACTCTTGAAGCTCAAGCAGGGTAAGCGTGATGTGCACGCTTACGCGCAACATATACGACATCTCACGAGTTGTATAAGTTCCAATCCGGTGGATGAACACACGTTGGTTTCGGTGTTCATGCAGGGTCTTGCGGATGGTCCCGTCAAGACTCACCTGTTCCGGCTTGAACTAGATTCACTAGAACAAGCCATTTCCTTTGCGGAGCAGGAAGACTTCAGTCTGAGACAGGCTCGCGCCAGCTCGACATCATATCGTCAACCGAGACGATATGACAACGGAGGTCCAGAGCCGATGGAACTCTGTTATGTAGAGAGCGAGAAGGCTCGCTCTACAGGCTACAAGAAGTTGCAGAGATGCAACAGATGTCAAAAGACAGGACACTACGCTTACGAGTGTAGTGCCCCTCGTCCAGTGTCTCGCGACACTGGGCGTAGTGACCGTCCACCCATGAGAAAGGGGCAGGGACGAGGGTCCGCAGTTGGTGCAAAGACGCAACAACGGGATGGACCGTCAAAAAACGGACAGGATCAGTAGGTGCGGAGCACCCTACTGATCCAGCAACGTCAAGAGAATTTGTAGGCCTCTTGATGAAGGTTGCTCCCAACACACAGACATTGTGCGTTGCTGCTCTAGGTAATGAGATCTCACTCATTACCTTGAAACTCGAAGTGACGAATAAGTTGTCCCTTCGAGCTCTAGTCGATTGTGGGGCGTCCAACAATTTTGTGCGACGCCAATCGCTAGAAGATGGTCACTTTAAATTCAGTGAATGTGACACACCTCCTACGAGGATGACGGTACGTCTTGCGACAGGCGCATCCGTAACCGTCATGAAGCGTATAGTGAAGATCCACTATACGCTAGAAGATACCCAATACGACGATGACTTTATCGTTTTGGATTTGGATGACAAATTTGATGTCATCCTTGGAATACCGTGGCTCAGAAGGTACGAACCACGGGTAAACTGGCAACATCGGACAGTAACGATGCCTGCCGCTTGTTCATCAGATGGCCATCTGATGAACGTTTTGGAGAGTCCACAAGCGTGTGGATGTACTACGAGTGAGTGCGATGGCCTCACTTGTGGTACGGTCGTTAGTACGACTGCACAAAACCTTAGTGTACCAAACGGTTACACTTCGGAGCAAAGTTCCGGCGGCTGTGAGGAAACACAGGCTGCGCCGAAGGTCCACCACTCGAATAAGTCGGGTGGACTGGGACAAAGATGTATCCCTAGAGGGGAACATCTAGAAGAGAAACAATCGATCGCTCAGGTTAAGCGAAACGATAATCCTAGATCGACTGGAGAGTCTTTCGTAGAGGATCTTGCTGTGGTTGCGCAACCCCAGCTAGAGGAAGTAAAGGGAATAAGTCCCAAGATTACAAATACGGCGGAAATAAGTTCCCCGAAACCCGCGGGAATAAGTCCCCGGGAAGACGAAGGAATAAGTCCTTCGAAGCCTGAGGGAATAAGTCCCCAGGAAATGACAGAGACATTGAATGTCATAGTCAATAACGGATCATGTGTAGGCGCTTATACACTTGATCTGATTGCGCCTCCGAAGTTAACTTCGGAGATCACTCAGTTGCCAACGCTCGAACATAAAAGATTCTTGCGTGATCTGCGTAGTGGCAAAGTCAAGCAGATCTGCATACTCGTCGCTGAAGACGAGTATGTAACCAACATAAGGTCAGCAACAGTGTTTACTGAGAACGAGAGAGTTCTCAGTAGTTCATCTATGGACGAGAGTGTCCTAGATGAAAAGACACGAATTGAGCGATATGAGTCCCAATCATGGGAATCGCTCAAGGAAAATCCTCTCTATGAAGATTTGGTTGAATTCAAGGATGTATTCCCTGAAACTGTTCCGTGCGAATTACCGAAGGATAAAGGTATTCGACACGAAGTCGAGCTTAAACCAGGCTCGAAGTACTGTGTCATGAAGCAGTGGCCACTGCCTCGTGAACAAGTACTTGCGATCGACAAGTTCTTTGCCGATCGTTTAGCAGCGGGCCATGTGAGGGAATCAACTTCCCCACATAGCTCTCCGACCTTCTGTGTGCGAAAAGCAACAGGAGGGTGGCGGATAGTGCACGCGTTTAACAAATTGAACGCTGCAACGGTACCGGCTCAGACGCCGATACCGAGGAAGGACGTAATCATTGATGGTATGTCAAAGAGTACCATCTTTTCGTCCATGGATTTGATGGATGGCTTCTATCAAATCCTAATGCGGGAACGGGATATACCCTATACCGCAGTTAGCACGCCTAGCGGCATGCTCTGGGAATGGCTAGTAATGCCACAAGGGCTCAGTAATGCCCCTGCCACGTTCAACAGGTGTGTATCACATCTGTTGAGGCCAGTACGAGAATTCGCGCCGAGTTATTTCGATGACGTATTCATCCATAGTCGAGCTATGGATGGAAAGTCGGACGTTGAGGTTCACAAGTACCACGTCCGACAAGTTCTTACAATCATGCGAAAGCATCAATTGTATGCAAACCTCAAGAAGTGTATATTTGCAGCAAGCGAAATACCACTTCTTGGGTGCATCGTTGGTAAGAACGGTGTACGTCCTGATCCCGAAAAGATCAAGGCGATCACCGACTGGCCCGTGCCGGTCGATGTCAAAGGTCTTCGAAAATTCCTTGGGCTAGCGGCGTATTTGCATAAGTATTCACGCAATTACGCCGAGATGACTGTACACCTCTCTCGTTTGTTGAAAAAGAACGAGAGGTGGTTATGGAACGCTGAATGTCAACGCTCCTTTGAGGGTATCAAGCAGAGCTTGATACAATCCCCAGTCCTAGCAATAGCCGATCAGGACAGGCCATTTCATGTGGTCTGTGATGCCAGCGATTTCGCAATCGGCTGTGCATTAATGCAGTACGACCTTGAAGGCGTTGAACGCGTCGTCTGCTATCAGTCGCGTCAGCTGCAACCAGCTGAGCGGAACTATCCAGTGCATGACAAGGAACTCCTTGCCATGAAGTATGCACTCGCGAAGTTCAGAGTCTATCTATTAGGAGATAGACCCTTCGTTGTTTACACTGACCATGCGTCCTTACGCACGGCAGTGAACAGCCCGCACCTTTCACAACGAATGGCGCGGTGGTTGTCATTCTTTGCAGAATACAACTTTACGGTCGAGTACAAACCAGGACGACTTAATGTCGTCGCTGATGCACTCTCACGTCGTCCCGACTTTGAAACAGTCGCGAAACCCAACAGTGAGACAGTCACTGTTGCGGTTATGACGTCCTCAGTTCCATCTACAACGTTGTATGATGATGTGAGGCGGGCATACGCCCAAGATGGTGAGATAGTGAAGTTGTTGTCACATCTCTACCAACCATCTCGAGAATCGTTGAAACGATTGTCGTCTGCGTATCGATCTGCATCAGATCGATACACTACTCGTAACGGTTTACTGTACTATACAGCCGTTTCTGGTGACACACCACGTGTTGTCATTCCAGATGATACTGATCTGCGTTTGCGGATCATGTTCGAGTATCACGATGCTCCTATAGGAGGACATCGTGGCCGAGAGAAAACATATCTCACGGTAAGTCGAGACTTTTACTTGCCCCGCCAGTATCAGTTTGTGCGAAAGTATGTTCGCGCATGCGAAGTCTGCCAACGAGTGAAGTCAAGTCCTTCACTGCGTGCACCTTTACAGCCTCTACCGGTTCCGGCTGAGTGCTGGGAATCCATCTCAATGGATTTCGTCTTCGGGTTACCCAAAGACGCACGCGGGAATACGGGTATTCTCGTATTTGTTGACAGATTCAGCAAAATGGTACACCTTGTGGCTGTACCAGAGACAATCACGGCAAGTGGCTGTGCTTGTGTCTTTATTGACACCATCTTCCGACTTCATGGGTTGCCC